TCCGCATAGGGGGGGGGGCGTCTGCGAAGCCGAGCACGCCGAAGCCGAGCACGCCACAGCTGCCAAGTACGCCGAGGCCCATCTCAGAGCCGACAGGGCAATGTTTCAGATGAACGTTACCTCTCCAGGCTGGTCAAAGGATCTCCTCCAAAATCCCGCCGAATAAAGGTCTTGCGTTTTGAACAATTTCGGCTTGCTTTCCAGCCGAGCAAAAAGCTCGAGCAGCCATCTTCCTCGCGCAGCCGCAGAGCAGCCATCCATTGCAGAATCCCCATGCTGACACAATCATGGTCTCACCATATCTTCCCACCCTCATGTTTTTTTGATCAGTACCATGAACCAAACAAATTTTGAGGGAATTAACATACACAACAAATTACTTATTTCAGTGTTAGATGTCTACTGTTTAAGACAGGGGTGTCCAAACTTGGGAACTTTAAGACTTTTGGACTTCAAGGGAATTCTGGGAGTTGAAGGCCACAAGTCTTAAAGTTCCCAAGTTTGGACACCTCTGTTTTAAGGCTTCTTTCTTAGAGTTTGAGCACTTTGAAGGAGTGATTGAACCCAGCATGGATAGAAATGCCTGATTCAGCTCAGAATTCTTTGGATCAAGTTCCTCACTTGATGATCCCCAAGGTTCTCCAATTCCATATTGCTTCATAAAATTCAAGGGATTGGTTCTGTAGAAAATTAAAATCCACCCCTCTCGCAGAAGAACGAAATATTCTAGGAAATATTAAAAGGACAGAATATTATACCTCCCTGGATGAGAAAAGGAGAAACATCTCTTGGAAATCAGCCCCCACCTTTGTTAATAGCCCCAGAAAGACTGGGCCATTCTATCTACAAAATATAAGGCTCTCAGCTCCAGATTGATAGGATTAGCCCTCATTCAAGATCCAAACTAGGACAAAGCTATTAAGCCATAATAGGAATTGCCAACACGCTTCCAGAACACAAGCCTCTTCATTACATCACCCAACACAGTTCAACCAAGCTTATCTCAGACAAACTCCTAGGATTTGTACATGACCTCTACAGTAGCCCTGCCCTTGCCAGAGGAACAGGAAGCTCAAGTTCAAAGCCCAAGAGAGGGTATAAATAACACTCACTCTCCACACCATGTGTTCAGCTGCACCAGGCCCATGTGCTTAATGGTTCTGCTCCATTAAACCAGCTTTCCAATCAGCCTCCATGTTTCCAGTGTCTTTCTCCCCTCTTGGAACTGAACCCAGATGGATGTTTCTTCCAAGCTAATCAGAACTTTTGAGACCTATCCACCTATTGGCTTAATTCTTTACCTAACATTATTTTTATTTAGTGCCTCATCCCTTATATAAATCAATACATTTTGAGAAGTATTTTTCATGAAAATATGTAAACATCTTAATATTCATCTGATTAGACTGGAAAATAAATCTTTAAATCATTTTGCAGTTTAAAACATTAAGAATGTTTGCAACAGGTGAAAGTTTGTAGGATGAAAATAACAAAAGCCTGGTGCCTCATCTTGTTTATTTATTTACTACATTTCATCAGCTTCTCTAGGAGTTCAACATGGCTCACAATGTTACTTTAAAATGCAGCTCAAGAAAATTCTAGACGAGGCAATTGTTAATTTCAAAGTATTAAAGAAGCCTTTGACCTGCCATTAAAGACACCATATTTAGAATTCACAGAAAGGTTGGTACCTGGTTTTCCATTGAGAGCTCAATTTTCTAGGAAATTTGTTTGGATTATATTGAACAAGGCTGAGTGACACAACAGCTGCTTTATGCTTTGGAAAAATCTTTGTGTTCACTTCTCCATGACATCAGAAAAACTTTCTTGGCTGATATTACATGTTTTGTGTGTGTGTGTGTGTGTGCGCGCGCACGCATGCACACACACACACACACACACACACACACACACACACACACACACAAAAGAATATACAGGGAGAGACAGAATTTGGTACTCTCTTAGATACATGAAACAGCCAGGTGATTTCAGACCAGTCACACTCTTTTAACCTAAATTGGGAAGTTGAAAACACCCAGTTACCTATCACACTGGGGCAGCAACTTAAATTGTATTTATAACATTCATTGAAGAGACTTTTATCCTGCAGTGTATTTGATTTAGGTTCATAATAATAATAAATGTCTCCAATTTCGATATATTAAAATATGCCATCTGTTTTGAGACTCAGAAAAGCTACATATATCTCCTCGATCAAAGTATCCAAAAATAATAAGTAAAACATGTTAAACTGAACAAAAGAATGCAAATACTGTATATTTACTTTTAACACTATCTATATGTGGACCTACAGTATATACTGTATATGTAATATATATCAACACCAGATTAATTCATAATGTCCAGGAAAATGAAACCCTGATCCAACCTTAGCACGAAAGATCCAACCTTAGCATGGAATATATGTTGCATGTCAATAAGATCATTATTTTCTGAAGCGGAAGAAGCAATCTCTCTTGATTCAGACCAAGGATTCAGGATTCAGCTTAGCCTTTTTTAACATCTGGGAATAATATTAATTTCAGATCCAGCTATCTGAAGGGTGCCAGGATGGGGAAGATAATCTAAAGTATTTTCTCCAGCTACCTGGAGAAGGTATAGTAGCTCAGAGATTGCAAAGCTGTGCATACAGTTTAAAACACTATATCTCCAATCCGGGCTAGAAAAATCTCCTCTCTAACTCAACTTGGGGATCTCATTGCCAGTTGATGTAGACAGGCAGTTGGGGGCTAGCCAGTCACATTCAACTTAGCATATTCTGTGAATGCAGCCCCTGTGATGGATGACTTCCAAGCTCACAGAGAAGAGATTTCCCCAGTTCCATCAAGAAATGCTTAGGATTGCAAGGCATGTTGAAAGAACCACGGCTTCCTAATTTTGCCCACTCAGTTTGGGTGAAATACCTATACTGAGAAACTTCAGTTCTCCACCCCTGCCCCAAAGAATTGTTTTTTAAAAAACATAAAAGTAGTCATCTCTACTTCATCCATCCTCATCTTAATGTCTTAATGACATTCACAGATGAATTTTCTTAGAAAGTTTGGTACACTGCACACAGATAGCATAGAAGTGGTACATATAGAGGGCAGAAAAACATAATAACAGAGAAAGCATGTCCTTCTGCCTTGAATGCCAAAATAATTACACACAGAACAGAAGCCTGCTTTTCTTTTCTTTATCATAACACCATTGCTTTTGACTGCCAAACCACTGGATGGTTTAAAAAAAAAAGAATGGCTAACTACAGCAGTGGAATTGCTGCAGCAAAAATAGCAGGCTACACTCCTGAATGTCTGCCCTACACATGCTGTTTTCTTTTAACTCCAAAGTACCTTAAGAGAATATGCAAATAAGCAATCTTTAAACATCAGTATGCCATTTTGGGACTATCCGCAGAATCATTCGGTGAATGAATGCTGTATTTGTATATGTTGTATTTTTCCATTCAGTAATATACTGCTGGCTATGATTACCTTGGCACTGTGTGCTGTAGAATGGAGCCCTCAAGATGAAACTTGAAAATGAGTGGAAGACAGAAAAAAATATAGTTTAGATTGATTAAAGACTCAATAAACTCAGATTGGAATGAGAAGGCCCAGAAAGAGAACTACGGAGCAATTCAAGAGAAAATAAAGTTTGACAGTTACGTACAACCTGGTGGAAACTGGCAGGGAGAAATTGGTTTGTGGCTAAGAGAATCAGATCTCAAAGCTGGGAGATTTCTGTTTGAAAGAAGAGTGTTGGAAAAAGACCTGAAGGTTTGATCCTCTGTGGGGGAGAAGATGGCAGGACCCTGCCATGTATTTTGTTAGTTTAATTTAATGTAAATATAGCATATTTAATAGCATGGAGAATTAATTGAAATAATACCAATATAATACATTTTCAATATCAGATATGCTCCAAATTCTGCATTTGAAACTGTATTCACTTAAAGAAATATAAATTAGTAGCACCACTAGAGTAAAAATGTAATTTAATGGGAAAAAAGACTGTTTACAAAACTTTTATAACTGTGGACTGGCTCCCGGTTCGGTCCGGTTCATCTGAACTGGTAGTGGTTTGGCAGCCTGGGTCACTGGAACCGGCAACACCTCTGAACCTGTTCTCTCAGTGGCACTGTAGGCTCCGCCATCTTAGTTTTTGGTTCTGCGCATGCGCAGAACAATTTTAATTGCACTGCGCATGCGTGCACTATGCGGCCATGAGGTACCAGAAGTAGCGACTGCTGGAACCCACCTCTGGCCCAGACACTTCTGTGCATGTGCAGAAGCATCGCACAAGCACACAAGCAAACCAGTAGTAAAAAAAATGGAAACCCACCACTGCTGTGTATCTATTCTCAGACAAATTGCTGGGGGAACCAAGATAAACCTAACTGTACTGCCAAATGAAGCATTGCAACAATCAGTAGACAGTAAAGAAGATGCTATTATATAAAAACCCTAAAATATAGCCTAAAACCTCCCCAAACCTGGCTTTATCATTCCACCACTTTGACATTCTACCTTCTGAGCATAATCATTCCTTTCTGGCATCCCACCCTGGGATTGAAAAATCCAAGGTTTCTTGTATGAACTGTATGCACTTTATATATAACTAGACAACTGTATGCAATTAAATATATAATTAAGCAAGAAGATTACTTATAAACCTGATACAGTCTACTGAATTTTTACCTGAAATAAACTAGCCCATGTTCTGCAGCAATATGAAGAATGACATGGATGTGATTTACAGTATGTATCTCTGTCTCCATCACTATCCACATATATACCTCTGCATCCATCTTTACTACTCCCCGACATCTCTTTTTATATATTATCCTTTTTCCACATAGACTTTCATCTTTTTTACAGAAGATAAATAAATCCAAAAACTTACTGATTTGTTGACAGTATATGAATTCCATAGTGGCATCAAGATGTCTTGACTATATGCGCTTACATATTTAGTCTGGTGAAGGAGGCAGTAATTTCTGTTTTGTAGAACCAGGGGTCTTCCATAAGGCAAATTATGAGCTTCAGAGTTATGTTCTGGAATGTAAACCATAATTGTAAAATCTCCAATTAACTGAATACTATTCTTTCCAAAATTATTATGAATTGCTCATTAGTTAATTTCTTTTTACATTTCAGTATATTGGAAAGAACAAAACAGTTGGAAATAACTGGAAAGCTGGCCTGTTTAAAACCTCACTTTGGGGTTTTTCCTGGCCTATGTGATACCAGAATGTTGATGACTTCTAACTCAATATGTAGAGCCAAACTCTACATCTCCACACCCCATTCAACACTAGCAGCATTTAAAGGAAAATTCTTGAACCACTGCCAACAGAACCTAACGAAGTGTTACTTGATTCAGAAGCAAAGCTCACTGCTCTCATTAGCAGCAGTGACATAATATAAGTGGGGGAAACCAAAGGGAGGGGAAAAAACCAATTTGAAGTGGATTGGATACAGTGCTAATACACTACACATAAAACTACTTGCATTTATTGCTTTATTTTACTGGTGGATCGTTGGAGCTATACAGAGTGATATGTCTCTTACGAGTATACAAATCATAGAAATAATTATGATTATGTTCAGGAAAATGTCAAAAGGAAGAATGGAATTATCTCGTTTGTGTTAAGAAACTTTTTTTTCTTAAAAAAATAATAACAACTAGTCCTCAAAGTAAGAATAAAGCTGCAAATTTGACACTTATTGGACTGCTATTAGAAGATTTCCTGCTCTAGTTAGTAACAATGTTTTGTGGATTGAAGTAATTGCAACATTTCCTGTCTCCCTGTTTGTAGTCTATGGACTGATCTTTTTTCCCCCTACTTTTTCCTT